TTGTTATTGCTTTATGCAATAGAGCGATGCTAGCCCAGTTCTTTGTACATGCTAGGAGAAGCCCACCTGTGGTCCTTTTTGGTACAGACAGAGCACTAAGCATCCCTGCTCATGGCTCCCCAGCACCATTTCATTTGGGTGAGACATGACTTCATCTGGGCTTCCACTGAGAACCTTCACAGGGCGCTTCACCCCTTCATACACTCTGAATCTCTGAACCCCTCTTTCTTCTTAACTTGTGTGTTACCACCCCCAATATCATTAGCGGCCCTCCAGCTAAGCTGCACATTACAGTCATCTGGGGAGCTTTTAAAAGTACCTACTGCTCAAGCCACACTCCATTCAAATTAGAGTCCCTAGGGCAGAATCCAGGCATCATTAACTTTTCAGTTCCCCAGATGCTCCCAATCTGCAGCCAAATCTCAGAAGGAGTGGTCTGGTGGATGCTTCTCTGGCTGACATTACCAGGGTGTTCCTCTGGGCTGACATTACCAGGGGAATGTTGAAAATGTCCCCCCAGACCTACTCACTCAGAACTTCTAGGGCCCTATTCCCCAAGCAACACTTGGGGTTGTCAAAGCCCCCTGGGTGATTTGGATGCACCATCAGAGTGATGAACCCGGGACTGAATCACTCAGGGTTGTAGTTTATTCATGTTACACTTTACTCTTTCTGGTCACTTCTTTAGAAAACTTTTATTCTTGTCATTAATGGTTATCTGCAGATTTCCAACAGAGAACTGTTCATGTATCCCAGGATGAATTTCAAACTAACTTTATATTCCCATTCAAGTATAAAGTGGTCCAGTTTTTATGAAGGCCTAAATTACCTATGTTATTACATTTACTTAATAAAATTATACTTTTTTTTTCATTTGAAAACAGTTAAGTCAGGGGTAGAGAGACAGCTCAGTAGTTAAGAGCACTTCCTGCTCTTGCGAAGGACCCTGCTTTGCTTCCCAGTACCCATATTGTGGTTGACAGCTGTCTGTAACTACAGTTCAAGGAATTTAACAGTCTCTTCTGGCCTCTGTGGACACTAGGCATTCATGTGATGCACATACACACAGAGAGAAACAGATCATCCACACACATAAAACAAAAACAAATAAAATCATTTTTAAAAGTTGAACCAAAAATGCCAGGGTGGTAAACATGTAAGTATTTTTTTGTTGTTGTTCTTTTGTTTTGTTTTTTGTTTTTCGAGACAGGGTTTCTCTGTGGAGCTTTGGAGCCTGTCCTGGAACTCACTCTGTAGCCCAGGCTGGCCTTGAATTCACAGAGATCTGCCTCCCTCTGCCTTCCGAGTGCTGGGATTAAAGGCATGTGCCACCACTGCCCGGCAACATATAAGTCTTAATCAGAGTTGTGACTTATGGCAAGGGTCCATTCCTTCTCCCAAGCAGAGTCTGGGGAGCTTTTAAAAGCTCACACACACACACACACACACACACACACACACACACACACACACACTGTCATGATACTCATTGTCATCCCCCATAGCACCCAGGGATCCAAGGGACAGGAAGAAACTTACACTTGAGCAGAAGAGATATAATACAAGCTGCTGGGTCCCAGGTGAGGGAGTTGCCTGTTGCCTTGCCAGTGTGAAAGAGGATTAAAGGGCCCTGCTTTCTGTACCGGCTTCTGCCACCCATGAGCAGGAGCATGGGAATAATCACATTGGGTCTGTAATCGTAAGTGCTATCAATACATCATTTCACGGTTGTTAATTTCTTTACTGCTATTATCATTCCCCTGGTGGGGGTGGCAGTAGCCAGAGTTCCTCCCAATACAGTCACCTATTTGAGACGTGTAAACTCAGAGAAGGATTTCCTCACCAAGCTTGTTTTGTTTGTTTTCATCCGGTCTTGAAGAGGGTACCTTCCAGGAATCCTGAAAGGAACAGTTTTGGGACACTGGAGCCCCAATGTTCCTCCTCTAGCCTATAAAGCAGAGCAGAGCACAGGGATTTCAAGTACTCGCGTAAGGAAAGGAGAGGTCAGTTTTTAAATATTATATCTGGAGCTGGAGAGATGGATCCATGGGAAGAGTACTTGCCTTGCAAACGTGACGACCTGAGCTTGGATCCTCAGAACCTACCTAAAACCAGATGTGCTAGCACAGTTTATAATCCCACATCCCTGCACAGCAAGATGAGGGTGGGAGACGGGAGGATTCCTGGAAGCTCATGAGCCAGCTGACCTGGTGTACACAGTGGTGATCAAGAGACCCTCTCTTAAACTGATACCCAAGGTTGACCTCCATCCTCCCCATGTGCCCTATGGCACCATCCTCCATGTGTGCACTACTGCTCTCTACCCCCCCCCCCCACATACACATTTATACACATGCATGCACACATACACAGATTTAAAAGAAGGAGCTATTCCCCTTATGATATACTCATGTTTGTCGTTCTTAAAGGAACATGGTAATGATCAGCCAACAGCTCTCCATGAAGGACCCATAAAGGGACCAACAGGCAGAGGCGTCTTGGAGCCATGTACACCATGTCTTGTGTAGCAAATGCCCAAAGAAATACTAGAGATTGTAGGAGCTTAGAAAGAAGAAAGCAAAATGCAGGGTTCAGAAGTAATGGCTCAGAGTAATCACCATTAGCGTCAATAAACTAAGACCATGCAACTTGGAGGCCTGGACAGACACCTCTACACGGTTTAACCAGCCTCAGTCACAAGCCCAGAGTTTTGGGTGGAAGCCAGGTAGAGAGGTTAAATAAGCCAGATGAATGTAGAAAAGTGAAGGGAATCCTCAGCGCCCCCCCCCCATAAAAACTGTAAGCTCCGGAGTCTAGCTGTCCTCTGTTGTAAAGATATGCTGCGTTTCCTGCCAAGTCTCAGGTAGATAAAATGGAATAGGCACAGAATGGACTTTAAGGTAGTATGGAGAAAAAGAGTTGTGGCAGGTTAGGAACCACATCAGTCTTACTGCAGCCCTGTGGGAGGCAATGCTGAGCTGAGACCTGCAGGTGCCACCACAGGTCAAGGAGGAGGGAAGGGAATTCCAGGCAGGGAACAAACAGGTGTGGATGCTGGGACATCCAAAAGTGTGACCCTTTGGTGTGATATAAGGGCCCAGTGTAGCTGAAGTTCACAGCAGCCCTTATTTGGTTATTTTAGAGCTTTTGATTTTTCCTGGACCACCAAGGAGTCATTGGAGAGTTTTTAAATAGGAAATCATCATGATCAGATTCGTGTTTTAGAAAGATGTTCTGTCTGCCTCCTGAAAAATGAATTAGGTTTAAGTGGTTGCTGATTGGAGGCAGGAAGACCAGGAACAAGTCTGTATTGAGTCTGGGTTGTGCTGAACCAGAATGAGTTTACAGTAAACTGGGTAGCAAGTGCACGTTCTCCCGGGACTCACATTTCAGTGGAGGAAGGAAAATGAGCGAGCGGCCAAGTACACTGGAGCTGTGGTAACGTTCACTCAGGTGAGAAGACCGGTCTTTGTGCCCATATCTCTCAAACGATGACTATGAAAGATTAAGGTTTTTCCCTAAATCATCCTTGCCCACGAATGATCCTCATGGTGGTGCCCAGTCCCTGTCCACCCAAGCTTGACAGTGCCTCAGTTGGCCTCTAATCCACTGATTTTGTGTGTATATGGCGCAGCACAGCCAACCTACAATATGCGTCTACATGCTGACTCCTCGTCTTTCTCAAACAGGGGAGCTGGTGAGGCTTCCCCTGAAGTGATGGAGAGATGGCAGGGGTTTGTCAACGCTTTATTATCAATAGGCTTTGTGTTGGAACGCTTTTGCCAAATTCGGTGAATGCAGGTGTTCTGAGCATATTAGGTAGGCTAGGAGGGGCCAGGGAATTGGAAGATTGTTATCTGTGCAGGAAATACTTTCTCGACATGTTATAAACCTCTGATGGGTTTATTGGAAGATAACTCCATAGTAAATCTAGGTGCATCTCTACTGCTCTTGTGTGTTTAGATGAACCAATCAGATAAATAGAAACATAAATTATTAAATTTTATTTCTTCATTAAAAAAAAAACTAATAAGCTAAGAGCATTCAACAAGGAAAGGCTATTGCTTTTGCTCCCAGACACTTTGTTTCTCCCTCATTCACCCACTGCTCAGGAACTACCTGCTCATTTCCTTATTTGAAAAGAAAAGAGGGAGAAGCCGGGGAGCTGGTTCAGTCTGTGAAGTGCTTGTGACAGCATGAGAACCCGAGTTCTGTCCAGCAGCTCATTTAAAATGTATACATACTTTAAATATATATATGGACCAGGGAAGCAGAGGCAGGAAGATTCCTGGGCAGTCCGCTGGTCAGCTTATCCTAAGCAGTGAGTTCCGAGTCCTAGGGAAGGATCCTATCTCAAAACCAAGGTGATTACACCAAACGAGGGGCTGGTATCCACATGTGTAGGCACAGCCACACACACACTTGCACCCATGTATGTATGCACACACACACATACACACACACACACACTTGCACCCATGTATGTATGCACACACACATACACACACACACACACTTGCACCCATGTATGTATATCTACACACACACACACACAATTAAAAAAATACTTTGAAATTTTGTGAAAGATTAAAGTGGGAGAAAGAAGGAAAGAGAAAAGAAAATCTAGGAGAGATCTGAACAGCAGGGGGCAGCAAGAGACAAAGAATGCGGTGTTGGACGTGGCTTCCCCAGCCCCCAACCTTGTCTGGCTTAGCGGTATAAAGTGGGGAGAGGCCAGCGGGGGAGCAGGCACAGAATCCAAACCACAGAATCTGAATCCACAAAGATAAGTGGATGCAGGCCTTACTGGAGCAGGATTGACTGAAGCCCACAGCCAAGCTGGAGTTTCACTGAAGAAGCTACTCAGTGGAATTCTTAAAGAAAACCTGGCTCTCTGAGGGTGCGGCCACTAACCCGGTGACATGAACATTACTTGGAGAATATCCCCAGCTATAATAAAAACGAATGTAGTTCTCTTTGGATACAATCCAGTGGCCAGAATTTATTCGGCTTTGGGTGGGAAGCATGGGTCTCAGAAGGCAGAGGTACCCGGGCATCTGGAGTGCCTGACAGCCAGCGCTGGGCCTCTCCAGCTCAGCTCCTCAGACGACACAATATGGGAAAGCTGGGTCTTGAGGGGAACGGTCTTAGGCTGGGTCTGACATGCCTCAGGAGTCCTTGCGATATGTGAAAAATCTGAGCCTTGATGCAGGACTCTGCGAACCAAAGGAAGGGGGGCAGTTAGAAGCTCGGGTGAGGAGCCTGTCACAGCCTGGGAATTTTGGCGAGGCCGAGTGTGGACGTAGCTAGGGGAATGACAGCCTATCCGGTTCAGACCTTGACTAGTTGTTGCACCGTGAAGCGAAGCTTTGCAGCGTGGCACTCAAGTTCTTACCAGGACTTCCCTTTCCCCTAGTGTCCCTGCGTCTTGGCTTTCTCAGCAATGAAATAACCTCCTTAACAGGGTTCTGAGGTGGATGAGAAAGGACATGCTTGGTTAGAGCTGAACTGCAACCGCGGTCCAGGCTGAGCTGGATGGAAGCGCCCCCCCTCCCACTCACGGGAAACCCCAAGAGACTACCCAGACCTCCCTGAGTCTTCCAGGCATCCCTCCAACTCTTTCCTCTAAATCGTATCCCTGGGAGTTTTGTCTAGCTCATTTCAGCTGGGAATACAGTAGATTCATTTTTTTTTTACTCATAAGTTGCTGCTATAAGTCTTCTCTCAAGTAATATGGACTTAAAGTGCGGCGTCCTCCACGTTGAACCTGCCTTAGCTACCGTGACTAGCGCTAGGGATTTTACAGGGGCTGCGGCAGGGAGAGGAACAGGGAGGCTCTTCGAGCTGCCACTAAATCCCTGGCCTTCAACTGACAGCCAGTGGTGACACCCAACCACAGGGCCAGTGCCGACTGTGGCTGAGCTTTGTTTTAGAAGTTCGGTACCAACCGTCACAAATACTGGTGGGAGAGGTAAGGTCAGGAACATGAGAAAGTTGCACTTACCGTCTTGTTAGGGAATGATGTTTAGGGCACTTGCTGTTCCCAGTGACCCTGACTTTGAATGGGGTACAGACGCTGTGTACAGCTCAGTGCCTACACTCAGCTCCCACATCAGACCCCACTCACTGTGCTTGGTAACTGCGAATGTCACTTACTCAGTCTGGATCTTGGCACGCACTCGCTTATTAGTGTGAGACCTGTAAGGTGACCGAAGAAGCCCATTGCTTCTGACAGGAGATTTTGTTTCTCCACATTGGTAACGCTCTCTTTCGCTGAAACAAGTGTTTGGGTCGGCAGTAGGGGTTCACTCTGGCTGGCCTGGAACTCACTGTGTAGACCAGGCTAGTCTTGAACTCTTAGAAATCTGCCTGCCTCTGGCTCATGAGTGCTGGGATTCAATGGATGTTGACCTCACCAGGCTCAAGGTCATTTTTTATGTGCTCCGAATTTTAATAAATTTTTATCTTCTTGAGGGAGTCCATCATAGCTCAGGTAACTGTTGACTTCTGTAGCTACATGGGCAGCACCCGGGCAGACATAAATCAACATCCTAAGGTAGTGTCCTCCCATGTCCTGATGAGTCCACAAAGCTAAAAACACCCAGCTGTTTAGAGAAAGCCTGTCAGCAATGGACCCTCAGTGATGTGCGTTTGTCTGTGTTTGGCCATAAAGACTGATTTTGCTAATGTGGCCATGTGGTTTGCTCCTTCTAATTGGCACCAGACTGTACAACGTCACTTACAGCTCTTCATCCAGTCAACAGATACCCAGGCACCACGTTGAGGCAGCTTCATAACTGCGGTGGTTTGAACAGGAATGGCCCCAACAGACTCGTCTATTTGAATGCTTGCTTACTAGGGAGTGGTGCTACTTGACAGGGATTAGGAGGTGTGTCCTTGTTGGAGGAACCATGTCGCTGGAAGTGGGCTTTGGGGTCCTGAAGATCCTGAGGCAGAACTCTTGGCTCCTTCTCCAGCACCATGTCTGCCTGAGTGCCGCCATGCTTCAGGCCATGATGATAGTGGACCTAAACCTCTGAACTGTAAGCCAGCCCCAAATAAATGTTTTCCTTTATAAGAATGGTCTTGTAAAGGAAAATGTTTTTCTTTATGTGTCGTGGTCTTGGTGTCTCTTCACAGCAATAGAAACCCAAAACTAAGATAATAACCATCTCCCAACAGCCCTGGTGCTCATGAACTTGTATATTCCCCGAGGTCATACTAGGGTGGGAGCTGAGTCAAGGCACTGCTCCTGACAAAATGATTGCAGCTCAAATGAGCGCATGTCACTTTCAAGACTGGTTTATAAGGGGCTGGAGAGATGGTTCAGTGGTTAAGAGCACTGGCTGCTCTTCTAGAGAAAAACTTGGGTTCAATTCCCAGTAGCCATCTGTAGCTCATGACTATCTGAACTCCACATCCAAAGGTTCTAACTAACACCTTCTTCTGGCCTCCGTGGGCACCAGATATGCATGTGGTGCCCACATATACATGGAATGAAACAGTCATATGCATAAAATAATATTGAAAGGATTAAAAGATTGGTCTATAGACGAATCTGTCTTGTCCCCATTCTGTCTCCCTGGTTCATCTTGCTTGTGCCGTGAGCTGCCTTCAGGAAATACTCACAGGGTAAAAACTCCCCCTGCCAACAATGTCAGTGGGTATGCAAGTGAATCCTACCCCAAACTAGCAAGAAGTAATTGTTGGTCTAAGTTGATGCCTTCATTCCATCAAGGACAGCTAACACATGATTCAGAAAAATCAGCATGTTGAATATCTCCCCGCTGATGTACACAGCAGCAAAATTCCCAATATCTTAGAAGTGGAACCAACCCAGCATTCCTGTATGGAAGAATGAATAAGGAAAGTGCATTGAAAATGACCACTCACTATTCCTGGGGAATTAGTTCCAGGATCGGCATAGCTACAAAAACCTGGAGATGCTCAAGTCCCTTATGTAAACTGGCACAGTGTTTGCGTACAACCCATGCATATCCTTTAGAGTATTCGTCCAAATGCTACGTCAGTGCTCTGTAAATAGGGGCTCTGGTGGGCTATTGAGGCAGTAATGGCAGGGGAAGCCGTGTGTAAGTGTAGTGCTGATGTTTTTTTCTAAATGTTCTCCATTCCCTAGTGGGTTGAATTTAAGGATGAGGACAGAACTCACAGGTACAGGAGATGGCCACACACATACAACACAATGCTATTGAGCCTTTTGTAAGAAGGAAAATATATCCTGTGGGTGAACCTGAAGGACAGTAAGTAAAATAAGCCAGACACAGACAAATATTATATCACTTATATCTTAAATCTAAGGGTCAGAGTCATCTAAGAAGTGAGTAAGGGGCGGGTGCCGGGGTGGGAAGGGTGGGAAAGTGGGGGTCAAAAGCTACAAAGTTTTAGCTAGGATAGATGAAAAAGTGCTGGAGGGCTAATGCATAGTATGGTGACAATAGCTAACAGAAAAGTACTGGAAAATTGCTAGGAGCTAAAGCTTAACTGTCTCACCATAAAACAATAACAAATATGTGATGTGATCAGTATGTTGTTTAACTTGATTTGATCATTTCACAGTGTACATATGTATCAATATGTCATGTCAGGCATGAAAAATGTAGATTTTCTTCTGAGGAAATGTTTCAATGAAAAGTTCAATTTCTTAAAAGAGCCATTTAGGTTATCTGTTTCTTGTAGAGTTATGGCAGTTTGTGGAGATTTTTTTCTTGCTTTTGTTTTTCCCTTTTCCTTAAGAACTGGTTCATTCTGTCTGAATTTATTTTAGCCTCTGCCACAGAATATCAAGTGATTTATCAATAAGCATCAAATTCATGTGCATAGCGATATTCAAAGTGTTCCTTCATAAGCTTCACAGTGTGTGTGGGGTCTGTAGTGCCGTCTTCTATCTCACTCCTGATATTTCATTTGTCTGTCCTTCTTGTTAAAGGTTCTTAATTTTAATTGATCTTTTGTGAACTAAGATCTAGAACTTTCTTTCACTGATTTCATCCATTGCTTTTCCTGATTTCAGTCTCATCGACTTATGCTCTTATTTCTACCACATCCTTCTACTTGTCTTCAGTTTAGTTATCTGGTTTTCTAAGTCTTCAAAGTAAGAGCCCAGTTATTTCTTCGTGACTTTTCTCCTTTCTTAGACTGCTCAGCCACGCTACCAATCTTTTCTCCTTTCTTAATGTTCACATGTAGTATACAAATTTCCACTTAGGACTGCCTCAAGATGTCATCCATACAAGTTTAGGCATTTCTTTTTCATTCAGCTCAATGTCTTTTGTTTCTCTTCAGGATTTCTTTTTCATCTATAGATTATTTAAAAGTATACTATTCCCACGTATTTGGAGGCATTCCTCTGATATTTCTGTTACTGACTTTTAGTTGATTCTCTTGTGGTCCAAACAACACATTCTCTATGACTTCAGTTCTTTGAAGTTTTTGAGGTTGGTTTCACGGCCCAGGTCAGGTGTGGTTTTCTGTTACTGACAGGTAGAATATTGTACATGTCGTTTAGATCTTGCTGATCCATATTGCTATTGAGTTATTCTACATCCTTGGTGATTTTTAAATCTATTAAAAACATTATCTTCCAAGGATGTTGAAGTTATCAACTGTATTTGAGGATTTATCTATTTCTTCTTTCACCTGAGTCTTTTTGCTCCACATATTTTTATAGCTTTATTGAATTGCATTTTGGTTATCTGCTCTTGAGGATAGTCCCTTTAATTTTCATATCGCTTTCCTTTCAGCTCTTGCTAATTGTCCTTTCTCTGATATTTTCTTTATGACATGTAAATCTGTAAACTTTCTCCTTCCTCTGCTTCCCACTGACCTGTATCATTACGTCTAAAGTGATTTTTGGGTAGTTTTTCAGCATTTATATGAGTCATATTTTCAGTTCCTGGTAATATCTCTTTTTAACTGGAACATTTATAATCAATGTAATTTTGTCACTATATGAATGTCATTTTGTTTTATTTGTTTCTGCTTTCCTGTGAGCTACTACATTTTTAAAAATTCAATTTTAATTTATCTGAAGTATTTTGGGTTGCAACTTAATAGAGCTTTTTATAATAGTTATTCTAGATATCACTGGTATATATATATATATATATATATATATACATATACTAGTATATTATGTTAAGACATATACATATGTCTTGATATAATAAACTGGTGCTGTTATTCTATCAGTTTGAATAAAGGACAGATGTTTGACTCTCTTTATGTTTATTTTTCTTTCACTTATAATATATAATTGTTCTAAACATTTCCTCTATATTCATTTGCCCCCATATGTTATCTTTTTTGTTTCTATCAGCAAATGGATTTTAGAAAACTCAAGAAAGAAATATTTCACATATATATATATATATATGTGTGTGTGTATATATATATATATATATATATATATATATATATATATATTCCTGTAACTAACCCCAATAAGACCCATTGGTTCACCAAATGGACTTTGGTGGTATTTGTACTGTGGTCTATGGTGGGTTCTCTATCCAGCGTGAATAAACATGTATGTTATATCTTTGGGGGGGGGGTAGTGTTGGGATGTACCATCTTCTCAGCACATGGATGTATCTTTACTCACCAAACAGAAGCTCTGAGACCATCTTCTTAGGGCTTTATGGGGTTTATGGTCATCATTGGTGATGTGCTTGGCTGGAGAAGGGCTGAAAAGTTCCAGGTCTATGATCTCATGGTGGATTCCACTAGTACTTGGTTACCTAGGGGCTTTCCAAAAGCCCAGCTAGGTAACACAATCTCAGATATACTTGCAAGGGGTTACTGCTAAGCAATAAAGTTTGATTATTTCTTGTCAGCCATGGCAGGAAGCAAAGACAAGAAAGGCTAAATACTTTATCCAATGTTAATAATATTATTCTAAATCACCTTAGGGAATTG